GCCGACTGCAGGGGGGCCAGATGATGCCGCACAGCCGCACAATCAGTTTCCGTTTCCGCTAGCCGCCATTTTGTTGCGCTCTGGCTAATAAAACGGCGGGCGACAATTATTTGTTTCGCCTTTTTCTATTTTGCCATTTTCTTTTTGCTTCTCTCTTCTCTGTTTTTCTGCCAGCCAAAGAGCAAACGAGAGACGAAGTCGAACTTTTAGTTTGGCAACGTAACGCGATGCGGCGCTTGCTTCATTAACTGTACAAGTAAAGCAGCCGCAGCAACAATGCAGCGCTCCAAGCAAACATGAGCATGTGTATGCAAATAGCTGACTAGCAGATACCCTGTAAACTAGAAGAACCATTTATGCTTGTGGTTTTAGTTGACTTCATTGATCGGTGAAATATTCAATGTGAATCACTAATAGATACCCTATAAATTAATAAAAGTAACTAAGCCATTTGGCTAAAGCTATTAAAGCTTTGGTTATTTAATATTTTTCCATATGAATGACTAGTGGATACCCTATAAAATACTAGAACACAAGTTAGTGGCTCGCTGCTTTTAAAAATATTTTATTTTTATTTTATACTTATTATATTTATTTATTTTAGCATGAATGACTAGCTTATACCCTATAAAATAGTCGAAAGTAACTAAACAAGTTTCCTTCATTCTACTCGTATTTAATAATATCTTAGAAATTATTTAATTAATTTTTCTGACAATATTCAATGTGCTTGACTCACAGATACTCCGCACAAATACATACACAATGCAATTTAATTTCTTCACTTTATGCAAATTATTTTTAATTACTTTTCAAGCCAATTAAACCTTTGTTTTTATTGTTTTCTATTCATTTCATATTTAATAAAGCTTTCTTTGTTCCATTTGGGCCGCATATACTCCACTTGGCCAACTGGGCGTATACGGCAATGGCACTTAGTTTGATGTTGTTTTGCTTATTGCTTTTTTGTTGTTCGTGTTGTGGCTGTTGTTGTTGCTGTTGTTGTTGCTGTTGTTCTTGTTGTCCGCTTCACACCTATGTTTGTGCAACGGCTTTTGTTTGGGCTGCCTTTCGTTGTGCTTTCGTTTCGGTGCGGAATATAAACAACGGCCATGACGCAGGCAGCAGGCAAACAACCAACAGCAACATTCATCTGTGTGTTGTTGTTGCTGTTGCTGTTGGTGTTTGCAGACAACAACCGTAGCCCGACAACCAAGGCCCCACATCAGTGGCACCGCCAGTAGCCAGTATCCAGTAGCCCATAGCTGCTCCCCGGTTGTGGATGGGCCTTTGAAGTGTGGGTCTGTTCGGCCTGTTGGCCCACTCGTGGCGCCAATTTATGACCTGTCAGAATTTTCCACTGGTCGAAAATCGCCAGCGCCTTAAACACACACACACCCATGCACACACACTTAAAGTGCTAGGCCACAAAAAAAACCCTTGCTCAGCTCAATTGTGTCAAAACTTTGGCGATCCCAAATAAGTAGGCAACACTTTCTGTAAACTGTCTAATTCAACAAAAGATAAAGATATTATTGATATACTTAGCATATACGAGAGATATCGATATGCATGAAATAATCAAAAGCTATTTCAAGTGCGAAGCGAACAGGCCTTCAGTGTTCGGCGCCTGGAATTTATATGAAAACTTTTGTGCCCCAAAAAGTAGGCAACAGTTTTTGTTACTTTGCCAAAGATGAAGATGCTATTGATAAATGGAATAATATATGATATAATATAGATATATCAACAATAAATAAGCTAAATAATTTTATCTTTAAGTATTCCTTACATTATAATCATAATTTATACAAAAATCCTTAAGAAGGCTTTAAAATTTTCTTTATTCACAATGTCATGTGGTCTTCTCTCCTCCTCTGTCAGCCTGTTTTATATCTTCTTATTTTTGGTATATATATATAAAGTCCCGATTTATGCATATATGTATATATATCATTTATGATTCTATAGCATTCCAATGTATTGAGTCTTGGACACGCTGAGCTTGCAGTTGCTGGCGCTTTTCTCTCCCCATGTTTCTCTCTCTCTCTCTCTCTCTCTGCTCTTGCTGCCCTGACGCTGCGTGCGTCCTTTCATTAAATGACCATGTAACATATGCGTGACACGCCCCTCCGCCTTCTACATGCGCTGATAAGTTGGTTAAAAGTTCAATGACGCTTTTTGACGGCTTTTGACTTTTGGCATGTTGTTGTTGTCACTTGTTTCATTTTTTTCTTTTTTTTGTGAATATATAAAGATAGGGTAAAGCGTTTTGGTGTAGCTGCGGTACAGGTGTCTGCGTGCATGTGTGCACAACTGTCTGCGTTGTCTGGCGAGCCGACGAGCCGCATAATTTCCGACGAACAGCAGCGTCAGGAGCCTGACTTAATTCTTTTGGTGGGAGGCGGGGAGGTTCGGGTCAACCAGCTGACAACTGTGTCCAAGCGAGAGGGTTTAAGGAAGAGGGGTGCGTGGGCTTAGTGAAAGGACACGGGGTCATGGCAACGTCTCATTCATTCTGCCAGTTAGTCAAACAGTCAAACAGTCAATCAGTCAATCAGTCAATCATGCGGCCATTCAATTTATCGTTGACTTAACTTTTTGATGGTTACAAAATGAAATTTATGAAGCACCCTCGCCCAACCCTACCCTACTGCTACACTCCATATCCCAAAACTGTTGCTCGACTAGCAGATGCCCTACAAATGCTTGCATTTGCCTTTGACTTATTTTTTCTTTGAGATATTTGGCATCCCTCAGCACATTTGCTGAGCTCGATTTCTCTCAGTGTATCGAAAACTTTCTTGCTTTTTTCTCTTCTCTAATGTCTCAGCTTATCTCTTTTTGTTATTGAGCGCTGCGGTCTGGCATGCTTGTTTGCCGACCCTTGCAGGGTATCTTATGAGTCTTATGCCTTTATATTTGGGATGCCGGTTTCATTGCCATTCATACGCTCACACACACACACACACACATTCGCACATCCATCAGCTGCAGCTGGCGCTTCATGCGAGCTCTCAGACCCCAAAAACTTGGCCTGTGCCCACGTCTCTGCCGCTGCCTCTGCCTCTGCCGTCGACCTGTGGCTGCTGGGTCCTCTGTCGAAGTGTTATCTTTGCGGTGGCATCTATAATGGGTTTTGTCACGTCGCAGACGCGTCTGCCATCATCTCTCTCTCTCTCTCTCTCTCTCTCTCTCTCTCTCTCTCTGTCTCTTTGTCCACTTTCGTGCAACTGTTTGCTGAGGCATGAAAAACGCACGTCGACATCAATAAACTTAAAACAAAAAGCGTTCGAGGCAAGAGGCGGGAGGCAGGCGCAATGAAGGCTGAGGCAGGTCACCTTTTGCGTCACACACACACATGTCTGCTGCTGCGTGCATGTGTGTGTATGTGTGTTGCTTTTGTAAAACATTTGCGTGTTGTTTAAGCCGCTTTTCGTAGTACGCAGCTCGTCTATCCGCTTAATAACTTTGGCGCCAAATGTCAAGCGTTGCCCCTTTAACAGCAACAATAACAATAACAAGGGTGCATCTGTGTGTGTGTGTATGTGTGTGAGTGTGTATGGCAAGTGTATCAAATTGGCAGCCCGTTATCCAGTTGACTTTTCACAAATTTTCCAACGTAATTGTTAAAGCTCGCAATGCGGTCAAGTGACTGTGTGTGAGTGTGTGTGTACGAGTGTGTGTGCGAATGCCAAGACACGCTGGAAAAGGCAACCATAGATAAGTGAGGAGAGATGGGGCAGGGTGGAGTTAACGGGTAGCTACCCGCTGGCCCGCTGGTGGCCTTAGCTTCGGCTGGCCAGACACCCAATAAAATTATATTGTACATGCATGCAGCAATAAATAAATTAGAACAAGGTGCTACAAGCGGCAGCTGCATGAAAGTGCCACAAGAGTGTGTAAGAGAGAGACAGAGAGAGAGAGAGAGAGAGAGAGAGAAAGAGAGAAAGAGAGAAAGAGAGAAAGAGAGATGGAGAGAGGGGAACAACATTTTATTTTGCCTTTTAATAATAAACTGAAGCATAGCTAAAAGGGCGCTGCGAGGGCGTGGCAGCCGAAGCAACTGCGTTGGCAGTCAGATGCAATTTATTGATAATATATATGCGGCTTCAGGGCCAGAGCAACAGCAGCGACCTTAAAGCAGTTGTAATGTTATTCACACACACAGACAGCGGGCAGGGAGCCAGCGACAACAATAAAAGGAAGAGAAAACCTTTTGGCAATTTGTTGCGACAAATTTTTGGCAATATTTTGCTGGCCAGCGAGAGAAGAGAGACAGCAGCCAGACAGAGTCAAATTTACGGCAACTGATAAGCAAGAAAGTGATAGAAAGAAAGAGAGAGAGTGAGAGAGAGAGAGAGAGAGAGTGAGTGAGTGAGAGTGAGAGAGAGTAAGAGTAAGCGACAGCAGAGAAAATAGAAGAAATCTTATTTTATAAATATAAATTGTAGTGCAACTGAGGAAAATCGAAATGATTGACAAAGACAAGATTTTCACAGCAATTTGAAACGAATATTAAGATGAATATATTTTATATTATTTTAGATAATATTTTGGGAAACAAACTGAGAAACATGTGCATTTCAGGCCTTAAGAAAGGAAAACTAACAAAATTTGATTGTTCATAAAAATAGTAGTGACAACCAAAAGACAAAAGAAACAACTATCGTCTTTTAATTCCTCATAATGTGACTGTGGTTTGACTCTAATGCCATATATATACATGTGTTGTTAAGGTACTAAATCTAATTGTACACTTAATAAAAAAAAAAAAACTTTACATTAATCTAATTTTATATATATCATATATATTTATATATATATATGTACTTTTAGATAAAATCGTGTTGTCCTAAAAACGATTTGTATAATGAAGTTTATTTTGTAATAATTTAAATAATAAATGCACTGCGTAATTAAATTGCAATTAAATTTGCATAATTTGATTTCACTTTTCGAATTAATAAATCAATTTCTCTCCCTCTCGCTCTCTATAGGAATACAATACAAAGACTGCCTCATGCCACGCCATCCACTATTACCAGCCGCATTCGCATCTGCATTCGCATCAGCGTTATTCTCAGTCGTCAAAGCACAGCAACAACAATTGCAGCAATTGCTGCAGCAGCAGCAGCGGCAGCAGCAACAACATCTCGAGCCACAAACAACAACAAGAACAGCAGCAGAAACAGAAACACAGATACGGTCACACTGGCCGCAGTCGCTACAACTACAAATACGATGCCGTCGAGGAGTGTTGCCGTCCGATCTTCCACGAGCAATATGGCTCCTTTGCGGACATGTTGTGAGTGGGCATCAAGAAGTGGGCAACAGGGCGACACTCAAGGTACCTACAACAGACTAACTACAAAGTGTTATACTATATAGAGGAGCAGGAGCAAGAGGAGGAGGAGGAGCAAAAGAAGGAAGAGGAGAAGGAGGAGACAGAGCAGGAGACGGAGCAGGAAACGGAGCAGGAGACGGAGCAGGAGACGGATGCGGATACAGATTGAAGAGCTGAAGATGTTGCATATGAATGTTAGCTGGTTACTTAGGTAGTTTCTTCATTTAGGCATGATTGCATACACACACACACAAACAAACACACACACACACACACACACACACACATACATACACATACACACGCACACAGAAATAATAAAGATGTAGTGAATTTTTTTATAGATATTGAGTGTGTTTATCTAAAGACAAGAAAAAGAAACGATTAGCGATTAACGATAAACGATAAACGATTTGAGTGTTAAAATATATAAATATATATATATATATTATATCCATGCATATGTGTTTCACATAACAAATATTGATATATACCCTTTCGAGAGCACACAGAGCATATGTTAAAATGAAAATATGTATATTTCAAATATATGTATTACCTATTGATATCTGGCTATAAATGGCACGCGCTATAAATGTTAGGCATATATACCTATATATATACATATATGTGTCTATATCTACATATAAAACTTACATACTATTTATTCGTGTACATATAATAAATCGATATCCATATTAAAAAATACATATATATATCTATATATATATATAAACTAAACTAAACTAAACGAACTATGTGAAAGGCATAAAAAGTTTTTTTTTTTTTTTTTGGAAATTCCGTCTAGAGTTAGCATTGAGAATTGTTGTTGTTCGATATATATATATATATATATATATATATATACATAAACATATACATATACATTACATACACATATATGTGTGTATTTATATGCATTTTTTTTGGTATATTAGACTAGATCTAGGATCTGGCCTGGCCTGGCCCAGAAATCGTCTTAACTAAGCGCATTTATTTGAAAAATAAAACGAAAATAAATAAATATAAATATATATATATATATACATATATATATATATATATATATATATAACACATATATGCATAAATTTGTAAACTTCAATATATATATATATATATATACTATATATATATATATATATATATATATATATATAAATAAAATTAAATAACTAACAATATTTTTTTTTTCTTAATTTATAATATTGCAATGCTTGTAAATAGAGTTAAACAGATATTTGATGGCAACATTTTAATAATAAAATAAAATATATATAAAAAATGATTTTTTTTAAATATTATTGTATGCATAGAAGACCTAAGCTATGAGTGTTAAACTAATGTAAATAAATTAAATTAAATTGACGCACAGCCAACAGGAGACGACTCATAAAAAACCTATAAAAAAAAAAAAGTTAAAAACACAATTTTCGCACACACACACACTTAGACAGGGCTGGCGAGTCGTTCACTTACTTATTAAAGAAAAATTACATAAAAATGTGTCTTAAAAACAAAAGAAATGCTTGCACATACATACACACCTACATATGTGTCTATAGACTCACAGATATATATATGTGTATATGTGTGTGTAAATGTGTATATGTGTATTATCGATGGTTAGTATACGTATTCAAGACATACATAGAGAACACGCTGCAAAGCTGTCATAATTGTAATTCTAAGCAGCATTCCCTAAACACGAACGCGAATTCGAACTTGAACTAAAAAAATCCAATGTCAAGTGAGAAGCATAAAAATAAAAACAAAATAGATAACGAATAAAATGGGCAATTGTGAAAGGAAAAAGTTAGGCAAAGAGAGAGAGAGAGAGAGATCAGGCAAAACAAAAACTAAGAAACTTTTATAGAAAGAGAAAGCTAAGAGCAGGCAATGAGAGCGCAGAGCTACTTGACCATAACAAGGACTACCGTAGAGTGGGGCATTGCATACTTTTTGGCACCCACTCCAACAAACACACACCCACACCCACAGACACACGCGAATATATCAAATTTTAAACTCTCAACTGCACTTTGCAGAATTTTAAATGTCTAAAATAAACGTAAAAAGAAAATTAACAAAAATAAAAAAAAAAACAACAAAAATATAAAAAAAAACCAAAATAAAGAATTGCATAAAATATATTGGATCTAAAATAAATAACAAAAAAAAACCAAAAAAAAAATACAAGAATTACAGCGTAACTATCAAATACCAGAAACTTTTAACAAACAAAAACAAAAATTAGCACAAAACAAACATTGAAAAACATGAAGAAGAAGAAACTAAAATTTAAATGATTTAAGCAAAAGTATTGTTTTTTTGAGCTCGTTTATTGCTAAATGCTATAAAAATAATAGTTGTAATTAATAGTTCTCTTAACTTTAGTTTTCACGCTACTTTTATTTATATATATCAATATAAATATAAATATATATAGATATTTTGTTTTTTTTTTTCTTGAAAAAAAAAGCTTAAAATGTGATATTTTATAAAACTATAAACCACAAGAGAGCGCAGAGTAAAAAGCTGAGCGTAAGCAAAAGAGAAACCGTCTAAACACACACACATACACAGCTATACACACTCACACACACAGACACACACACACTTGACAAGAAACTGGCATTATTTAAGAAAGAAAAAAGTTTTGCACTTTATTGTCATTAAATTATGATTATTATTGTATAATTTAAGCGAACTGTAAGTAACGTTATATTCATTATTTATGAGACACAAATAAAAATACATTTAAATAACAAAAAACAACAAGTACAAAAGCTCAAGTTGGACTGGGAGATACCCTAATTCAAGTACTATCTACTCTTATAGATGCTGAGATCGACGCGTTCACAAACACGGGAAGACGGATGGGGCTCAATCTTTCCTATTTTCAATCTGATCAGGACATAAAAAGTGGTAAATTTAACAGAAGTCGCAGGATCTGTTGCTGGTGTTGTTGGCGTTGCTGTTAGGGCGCGTTAACAGCGCGCTGCTGTCAAACACGTTCCACAGCCCAGCGCCAGGTGGAACGCAACATGTTGGCACGCCAACATGTTGTGTTGCATACCATTCAGCTGCACGACGTTTTACAGGTGGCTGCTTCAATAAGAAAAATTGCAGCATACTTTCAAGCGGCGTTCGAAATAGCGACTGCTTTAAGGTGCAGCATACTTGCAGGCGGGAGCATAGTAATCAAAATCAGAATCAACATCAAAATCAAAATCAGAATACAAATGAAATTTGAAGTGCTGCACGGCCTGTGGCCGCCTGCCTAAGCTGGCTTTGTATTTGTTAGTTTTGCAATTAAATTGTTTCGGGCCAAATCGTCTCAATTTATCGCTTGAATGGCTCAACAGCTGCCCGGCAGCCGAAGCAACTGGCTGGAAAATCCGCTTGACGCAACTCAGGAATAGCTACGTTTTATCTATGCAATAAAAACTTCAACTGCTCATTGTTATGATGCGATTTGCAATGCGCTGGTCTTCCTAAAATTTCGACACTTCATATCTATATATATAAGGTATATATAGCTTATATATATATATATATATATATATATATATGTATAGTATATATTCAGTTTCAGCTCGAGTGATAATCAGCTTTGGCTTCAATGCTGCAGCCATAAAAATATGAAATTCATTTTTGCCATTGCAATGGACTTTAAAGCTCTTTTGACTTTTTATGCTTTGAGCGTGTGCGTGTGTGTGAGAGTGTGTGTGTGGGTTGTTATTTGGGTGTTGGATGCGCTGCGGGCTCGTTGTTTCTATCTGTAAAGCAATTAATAATAATTGGCCCTAAAAACCCCTTTTTCACTCTCTGTCAAATGTGTGTGTGTGTGTGCTTAACAACAACTACATCAGCTACAACAAACAAGCAGCAGTCCGTTAAGGGACGTTTGGGCTGTGAGGGAAGTTGGCGCAGCGACGGCTATTTGCAAATATTTACAACATCCGCTGCCCGGGCTATACAAACAAGCACACACACACACTCACACATACACATGCACACACACACTGATACACACATAGCACACATGTGACTTCTCTGTGCGCTTTGGCAAATAAAAGTTCTGAAATGCGATTATCTTGATGAATTGGAATTTGAATTTTAATTCTCTGCTGCTGACCAGCAAACACACACACACACACACACACACACACACACACACGCATCCACCTACACAGAGAGAGAGGGAGTTACATTACGCAGCGATTGCCGTCAGCAATGACACCTTTACCAGAAACTGAACCGACCAATCCAGCTAGCCCCACTTGGGCAATTGGCCAAACATGTTGTTCATCACAAAGTTCTCGCATTTGCCATTTACATTTGCCAGCGAAAAACAGTTTTCGGCAAATCGTTGGCCGTTGCGAACTCGTATGCGTTTGTGGCCAGATCTGAAACTGAACCTGAACTGGAGCCCTCGTCATAGACATGGCCGGAGTCAAGTGGCTCGCTGGGGCTATTCATACCTGTTGTAATTGCAGAGCTGTCGAGCGCCAACTGTATCTGAATATGTGGCTATGGTTGTGGCAGCGCCTCCACCTCCAACCTCTGTCTGTATCTGTGTCCTGTCTCTGTTGCTGCATCTGTGTCACAGGCAATTCTCAAAAGCATAAAAGTCAAATTTGTCGCATGGCCCACGGAGACGGCGGCCGCCAGTTTTTGCATTTCCCCAAGCAGCCGCGGGCCAAACGTGGGGCCGGGCGCAC